ATTGGTTGCTTGTAAAGATATAAAAATGTTTATGTTATGCCGTTTATGGGAACATCTGATACAATTAAATGGGTCCGTGGTAATCTGTAACAAGTTGGAAATATAAATTAATTGAGACCTTCCTCTCAATTGTAGGTACTAAAGGTTCATAGAAAAATGTTATTTACGAGTGTAAACATAGAATGAATTTCATCAGCCGTGTGGTTACTGTAGAATAGCAGTATATTTGCCGTCCCTCTACTCTTCCCTCTGATATAATTATGTAGTAAATTGCTGACTCAAGGACTAAACAATGGGGCTGCCATTCTTTTGTCACCAAATGTAGCAAAAGATTTTTATCCAATCACTGCAGCAGTCAAAAATTAACGTCCAATGGTGTGTCTCTAGCTAATTCTCTATTGGACGAAAAACGAGGTGTCACACTAGCGCCATCTAATGGGCAAAATACGGTAGCACTGAGACCGGTGAACTGCACTCCGATTATCCTGACCCTTTGACTATGATCTCCGGCCTACGAAATGGTGAAAATAATGACAAAATCTTTTATGTAGACTAGGCGTATGATCTCAACTTTTCTATGTGGAAAAGCCACGTTTCGGCACGAATGGGCCGGCTCGAACGAAGTGATACCACGGCCTCACAGAAAACCGACGTGAAGCAGCGCTTGCGTTGTGTTTCGCCGTGTGAGTGAGGTTACCGGAGGTCCAATTACCCCTTCCCCAATCTCCTAGTCCTTAAATCCCCAACGATCCTCAACCTCCTAATCCCGAAAAGGCCGGCAACGCACTTATAACGCCACTGGTGTTTCAGATGTCCATGGGCGTCCAGGGCGGGATTACATTGGATGAACTATTTTAAACAAAAGGGTGTTGATGTTGCTGTAGGGAGTGTCGCCCCTTTTTATAGCCACAAAAAACTGAGCCTGAATCATAGACTAACCAATTACCAACCAATAGGTACTTACATATAACAATACATAATATCAAGAGCAGGTCATTGACCGCGGCGCCATATCGCGTCTAGTTACAAATGCGATGTTATGATACGGTTGGATTAACATGGATAAGCCGACACAATCTTTATGTAGGTATGCAGTTTTGGTTTTTACGTAGGTATATCTACTAAGGCCTAGTGTTTGATAAAATTATGTTTAAAAGTCTAGATTAGCTTTTGATTACAGCTTTAATTGCTCCAATTAAATTAATCTAATATTTGAATTAAATCAACCTATGAACGGTTTTATAATTGTAACTGTTTGTGTGTAAATTATAAAAATTTATTGAGTTGTTTATGAACAAAAAAACTTATGTTCATTCTTAGTATTATGTAGAAGATAAGCCATAGACCAAGTAACAGATTTTTGGTAGAACGATTGCCCAAAGAAATGTCCACGATTCTCTCATCGCATTTTATAACAGTGACGATATATACTGACGCAGCGATCTTGTATGGTCATCGCCACATACGTAACTATTATTATTTTATTACAGATCATATTTAAATTATAACCACATCACTACGCATAGAATAAATAATTACTAGGTCGAGATACCATAAACGTTAAAAAGGAGGCGCTATGTCTTGATAAATGGCTGGAAATAATTTTAATTTTCGAATGAAGAACATGAATGACACATTCATTCGTTCGTAAATAAAAAAATCAAGCTGTCAATTGTGGCGGGAATTGGAATAAAGATTTTATCTGTGGTTCAAAAATCAAATTAAATGCAGTTATTGGTAGATTGGTAAGATGTTTTTAAGTTGTGTGATTAATTGCTTCCTTAATTAGTGTATAACAGTTAATTATGTTATGTATACCGATAAGCTGTGCACTGCGCTCCTGATATCCGCTCCCACGTCTTATCACGACTCCTCATAAAATCTAACTAGCTCAATGACCTTTAAGATCGTTTACACAGTGTAAGATTTTGGTAATTATTTATTGTACTATACTATTGTAATGATAAGTTGTGTGTCAGTCTTCTTTAACAATTGTTTCCTATATCATTGCTTAGTGAGAAAAATTTGTAAGTCATAATCAGACTGTACTATAGCCTTGTCGTTTATCTAATAAACGGAAATTAGCTTGCATCTTTGCTATGATATATACGTATTAATAGTAATTTTATTAAGATTTTAGTTTGAATCCAGGCTGAAGAGTTAGTTTTTATCTCTGTTTATACCTAGGTATTTTTATCCATTACCTTTCACAATGTATTTCATTCATCAATTAAACTAAAACTCTTAATATTAATATTTAATTTAGTCCTCAACGGCTAAAGTAGTAAAGTCGCAAGTATGCCGCGAACCTTAATCGAGATCTCAACGCGCTAACGGGCCAAGCGGCGCCGCCCGGCGCACCAATTTTATTATTGTTTTATATTTCAAACAATTAATTCTATATTTCTCTATTGAGATGATTCATAAGTTTTTTTGCATTCATAAATTATTTTAGACGTTTTGTTTTTTGTAGTCTTAGACCGAGTCTAGCTATTTGCTGTTGTTTTTCTCCTTTTTGCAAAACGCAGTCTGACTGCAGCTGTAAAATCTAGACAGATGATTTTAATTATGTTTATGATTATGACTGATTTCTTTGATATACCGACTGAGTTTATATTTACTCTTGGACATAATTTATATGACATTTTGACTTATATAATAGATTGGGTCTACCGTGTAACAAATCTATGTTATCCCCGAAAATTTAGATCACTAGAGAAAACCTTGGGCTACCTCTAATCTCTTGGGCTGAGTCGTGGAGAACCTAACGGGTTACCGGGGCTCCGGCTCGACGTGCAGGAGAAGGAACGGGGTGGTTTTTAGTCAGTAAGAGTCTGACACTCCCTCCCGCCTCACCCAGGCGAGAGCAGTAATTCTATGATATACCCCACTTAAAAAAATTAAAAAATAAAAACTCTTGGGCTGTTGAAACAACAGAGTCCAAAGTCCTAATACTTGATTGGGAGCATAACTGACAAATCATAATTTTAATATCTTAAACAACTTCCATCATTAATAATTCTTTACAAACTACGTTTAAAACACCTACTTCAACTCCCTCTTTTTTTTAAGTCGGTCCATTAATATACTAAAACCTTCTCCTAAGTGTAACAAACACTTTTCTGAAAACTGTATCAAAATCGGTTGAGTCAATTGCTAGATAATCGCGCACAAACAACACATAAACATAACATAACATAACATCACGCCTTTTATCCCCGAAGGGGTAGGCAGATGTGCACATTATGCCACTGCACAATGTAACGCCCACTTTTCACTATTTATGTTATGAGCCCCATGTAATCGTGCAAAAACATATAAACATACATGCATACAGGTCAAACTCCTTTTTTAAGTCGATTAAAAATCATCGTGCTCACTCTACTAACACATAAACATGAGTACCTACACAATTTCACCAGCACAGCAATTGTCGTATGGGCACAATTGTGATAAATCCATTACGAGTACGTCGAGTCTAAGTAATTTGCCAATTAATCCATTGAGACCGATTAACGCCGTCAAAAGACGAATATTGCCTCAAGCGACATCTGTGATAAATCTTCGCACTTAAAGAGAAGAGTTATTGCTATTGTCTTTGTGTTTCTTGAAACTAAGAAGGAGTATTGGCTATTGAAACAGTTAATACGAGTGATTGGACTTTCTTTCTTTCTTTATTTTGCAATAACTAGTTTTTGCTGGTGGCTTCACCCGCGTTCGTGGGATAAAAATTACCCCAAGTGCTATTCCAGGTTATAATCTATATCTGTACAAAATTTCATCCAAAGCCGTACACTAGTTTTGTCGTGAAAGACTTACAAACATACGTAGGCACATACATTCATTCATACATCCTCAGGAACTTTCGCATTTATAATATTAGATAGTTTTTTTTTTTTTTTTAAGGGGGGAAAATCATCGAATGACTGCTCCCGCCTGGGTGAGGCGGAAGGGAGTGTCAGACTCTTACTGACTAAAAACCACCCCGTTCCTTCTCCTGCACGTCGAGCCGGAGCCCCGGTTACCCGTTAGGTTCTCCGCGACTCCGAATCGGCAATATTAGATAGTAGGACTCAATCGTCTGTCTTTTAATCCTTATGACAATTCTAGGCTGCACTATTTATGTAAATGTTTCGCGGCTAGAAAACATGTGTTAACAAAAACTATGTTTCTACAAAATAAACTTAATGTTCTAGTAAACGATGGGCAAATCGTGATGAATTAATAATAACGATGCACGTGCATGAGTAGAGGAAACCAGAATAATACAGAAATAGGAATCAGTATAGAAATAACTGATAACTGAATAAAACGACCACTTTTTATTTAATAAAGATAGCTTTATTGTTTCTTCGGTTATCTGTTTTTTATTAACATAAATCAATTATTTATAATTGAGATTATTTCTACCGTTTCTTAGATGCCATAATAAATATGCGTAAACACAATGATACTATGTAACTAAGAACTCTATAACAAACAACTATTATTCTTAACCCACTTAGCAACAACCAAACACAGAGTGTCGCATAAAACAATTTGCGTTCAAACAGTTCGAATAGTTCAGTTCTATTTCAACCAGTTTGTTAGGCATCTGCTTTCGAACAATTAAACGATAGCCATCGACATCGGCACTGTTTTCACATACCACTACTACCACAAGGATGGGTGGGGTCAGGGAAACTACACCAAGTACGCCGATAGAGATGTCGATTAGAAATCTTTAACTAATTGGTCGATGCTGTCTTGTTAGGAAGTCAGCAATTGAGGACTCGTTCGATGGTGAAACGGGAAACTGTTGGAGGAAGATTTTTGCGATCTAATGAGGATGCTACCGACGTTTGAATTCTTGGGTTTAGGGTGTAATTGGATGGGTTTTTGGAGTAACGAGACCAGTAACTGCCGCTTGCGGATGGTAAAGTTCCATACATTATGAATAAAATGATTCTACTCTTGTGAGTTGCGAACTTTTAATATAACGTGTTTTGTTTTGTCTACAGGGTCGACATAAGAGGAATGCGACGTTCCCTGGGGGACAGACAGCAAGCCTGTTGCAGTCGTCTACAACAAGAAGTGAGCACTATTTCATCTTTTATTTCAATCTTCTTTGCACATGATTAATCACGTTTATTCAACGCACTACTTTATTAACCTATCTGGCTCATGTCAATAAGTTTAGATTTCTACTTTTTAGTCTTATCACAGCACCATGACTATCTTTCACAAGGGTGGGGCATATATAAAACCCACTTCTGTTCCTACAATTTCTCTCCCTTCGACTTCAGAATACTCCGCGGATGCGTCAACTCTTCGCGATGTAGCAGACGGCTGTCAGGCCAGCAGGCCCAGGTACTGCTCTGGTGGCACCACCACCTGGCCTGGCCCCAGGGTACAGCCACCACAGCCAGAGATCCCAAGCCTAGCCGCCCCTACACCCATCGACACCAAAGGTTAGTAGGCTACAAAATTATGACAAAACGGCGGCCAAATTTTTGGTGATAGGGTACCATTATTTCAAAGAGGAAACAGATGCTTTGATATTCATATTTTAATAATAACTAAGTTTTGCTTGTTATTAAATTGTTTTGAATATGTAACGTCAAAAAGAGTTGCCTATATACTATATTTTTTCGAGTTCATCAGTGCGTATGTCTGTAAAGAAACCCTGTTTCAGTTCATGTGAGAAATGGCCACAAGCCTTAAAGACATTTACTAGATAAACAGACATTTCTTTACCAAAACATTGCCTCACAACTCACAATCCGCTAACAACAGACACGCCCTCTAAAAGCCAAATAAACAATTGATAACACTCCCAAAATGGCCACTATCTCCCCCCATTACGGGACCATCCATTGTGGCCGTTATCTGGTACTAAATACCAATAGACGAGCAGGTGCGTCTGTCTGCCAGAGTCAGTTAGACTCGGCTAGCACCGGCCAGACTTCGGGCCATAAATATCAAACGGCCGGGCGACGACGCGTTAGACCTAATTAAACGCTGTAAGATGTAGGAGATGGTGTTAGCTTTTAGTGCTGGTACAAGGCACAAGCTCAACGGATATTGAAAAACATATGTCCTGGAGGGAACAGAAATGAGCTCATGATGATAGGTCATATAGAAAGAGACTGATCGAAGATAAAAGAACTGCTTAATATTTGAAGCAACCTGCCAATTAATCTCTTACTTATCCTAGTAGTATCTCTTGACTTTTTGTTTCGGTTTTCCATGTCCAAAACATTTACACTTCTCACACAATGCACTCATCTTTACTGCTCGTCCTTTCCTCTTTCGTATGCACTGTTTTGTGAATGTGTAAGCGCTTACTTGCTTCAGTTACTAGAAAAGACAGTAGGTAGATCCTCGAAGCTTCTCCCCTACTCCACAGCACAATTTGACGATGATTCACACCAGCCTCCGGAACGAGGGCTTCGCGTCAATTAAATTTAGCACCGTTACTATAAATATCGTGGAAGCCTAGCCCAGCCTGCCTGTCGCACCCGCTTGCGTTACTTAGTAAAACGATGTCAATGGCTTCAACTACTAAGTTTCATTAACTGAGAAACAAAGTTATCGACCAGTTTGACAATGATGTATTCAGTCTAATATCACCTTCTGGAAAGTGGTCTATTAGTTGCCTTGCCCATTCCACTGGGATATAAAGTTCATCCTGTATGTGTTAGTAGATACTTGTAATTATTCAACATTAATTATTTTTGTAATCAACCAACACGCATCCTGCTCATAGCTCCTGTACCTATCCAAAACATTGTGAATGTGCATCTTTCTAATCTACTAACGTCTTTTCTAAAATTCAAAACATCCAGTTCATTAACGTGAATTTCATGGACGACCATCAATTGCACATGCCACAGTTATTTGTGTCAAAAACAACATTAAACAAGATCTGATTACGACCTATAAATTCAGTATTCGCAGAATGAGTTAACGACCTCCTGAAAATCGGGACACGTCGCGAATTCGGGACACAGTATGCCACATACAATTACAATTTTATTAATGTCATCTGTAAGCAATGAAAACCAATTTATTTGTTCTAACCGACGCCGAATCCTTGGCATAATACTGAGAGATAAATTAAATGTCATAACGTACAAAAGTTAATTAATACGTCTATGTACCCTGCCCACCTCACAAACAATTGCAATCATAATGATAATATATCATAAGTAGAAACAAATAAACAGTACACACTAGAAGCAAGGACGGTATACAAAACTTAATTCAGAAAATCTGCATTGATTTTTATTTACTTTTGAAGTCAATAAGTTTAATTTAGCACACTGACAGTTGACATTAATGTAATGTGAACAGTGTAAAGGAATTCACTTCAATCTTCGTAAAGTACACTCAAATAAATAACTCGAATAATCGAACTCACACTCACAGCTATTTAACGAAGTACTCAATTTCTAGTGCAGTATAAAGTGGGCACTCTGCCTCTCTCTCGATGGTTGCAGTCTCCGCCCATATTTATGTGTGCTGCGCCTACGCAGCGGTGCGTGCGTTTGCGCAGATCCTAATTACTGATCTAACGGCGGTCAAGCGCGCCCTCTAATTACTGATTGTGATAATGTTATTTAGAAACTCCATCGTGCCATAATGTGTTGGTGTTTTCATCGTATTCCCAGTATCTGCACTACATTGCGTTGTATCTTTGTAATTTATATTAATTGCTTTACATTTTCGTGTTTTAGAAAGCAATGTACGATGTACAATGTATTGAATCGTTATCTTGAGAGTTATGTTCGATTACCAGTAATCGCTTGTTTTGCTATACTTTATGTAGTGAAAAATCTCTTTGAATCTTACATCAACAATTATAATATGTAGAACCAAAATGTTATTCCGGGTTGGGGTGTTAACCATCGGACGACACGAGATAATTATAAAGTACAATTCAAAATGGGAGCGCACTTAAACGAAATGAAACAAATAGCTCTTAATAATAACTTCAACATAATTAGTACCTCTAGAGATAATAAGACGTACTTGAGCACTTCATATTTATATAACTGAGGTAGTAAATGTCAATTTGGCATGACTTAGAGGTCAAAGAGGTTCCATGAGAAGTTGTGCTGCCACTAAATACGCGAGTACAACGCAATATGTCTACAGTAGCCTCTAGCCATACTCAGTAACAATTTTAACCAAATATTACTTATTTAGAACCATGTTATTTACTAAATAAGTGGTTTCTAGACAAATTGCCGTATACATGTTTAATAAAGCCCATAATTTCACAAACGTGCATGTTGATCGTTTAAATGTTATTGCTATAAATTCATGTTGTTGGTTATGACTGCCTCGTTGGCCGAGTGGTCGTAAGTGCGACTGCCGGGCAAGGGGTCTCAGTAGTAGCACGGAGTCTGGAATTGCCGGTATATGGCAATAGGCTCACCCCTTATTACATGGGACTCATAACATAAATAGTGAAAAGTGGGTGTTACATTGTGCAGTGATATAATGTGCATCTCTGCCTACCCCTTCGGGGATAAAGCCGTGATGTTATGTCATGTTATGGTTATGAAAACCTCCTTGAAATTTTTACTTTATGTTTTCGACTTCTGAACCCTAGCGAAACTCATTCTGAGCATCGGGCAAAGGTTTAGGATAGCAAGGAGTCTGAAATCAGGGCGACCATCAGGTGATCCACCTGCAATTATTACCATGGAATTATAATACTTCTGCAAAAAAAAATCTACTAAAATCAAGAAAGAACGAAAGTTAAACGATTTATTACACCACGACACACATGTAGACAACAATGCAAGAACACAAAAAGAAGTTCATGGTGCGTCGCAGTGCAAAAAGCCGGAGCTCAGCTTAATGCTGTGGCGCCTCAAGGAGCCATCAGACCACCACAGATGGGGCCTAACAGGGCTGATGCCGATACGGAGCCGTGGAAGACTTAACGGGTTGCCGGGGCCCCGGCTCGAAGTGCAGGAGTAGGAACGGGGTGATTTTTAGTCAGTAAGAGTCTGACACTCCCTCTCGCCTCACCCGGGCGGTAGAAGTCATTGGATGATTTTCCCCCCTCAAAAAAAAAGCTTAATGCTGTGGCCTGGGCACGAAGGTTCGAATCCACAGCGCTGATTATCAGCATCAGCCTTGAGCCAGAGATGACACATTTATTATTGTCTTGTAACAGGAACTTGCCAATTTCTATAAGATTAACAAAATATTTGAAAATGCGTGTTCTGTTGTAGACAGGTATTTAGGAAGAGTGCGGTTGTTTCACTTTCGTTGCGATGTGCGCCGGAGCGTGGCGACAGAATGTAGGTCCCGCTGCTAGCGCACACGCAGCTAAACGAAACGTTTTGGTATAACTACGAATTTTAATGCAGTTTATGGACAAAGTACGAATCTGAGTTATTTTAGAAAATTTTATAAGATTCCTGTAACAAAAAATCTATATATTGCTTTCATATTATGAATGAACAAACAAGGGTATTATAGAAGGGTGTTTCAATAATCTTTGATTTTACGGTCTATTAATTATTTCCATAATAATTCTGGCTATTAAAAAACAACTGAAAGTTAAAATTGATATTTCGAAGTAAATCTATACTAAGTATAGTTTCAATACACGTCCTTTTCTAAAAACTTTAAATGCATTGTTATGCAAATATAGCCCTTATAAGCATGCAATTAAAAGCTCATTTAATACAAACAGATTCCTTACACTGCTATAATTATATGCCTATATGCTGAACACGTAGTTACCTAGGTATTTAGATAGCCTTAGGCAGTAATCTATGTGGAGTAGGCATCTTGTCTCGACTCACTATATTTGTGGGTTTTTATTTACATATGAGTATTTTAAATTGTTAAATAAGTACATGTTCGGTTGATTGTGTATTTCACTTGAAGATTTTTTTATCTGTGCACGTATGTATGTATGCGTAGATAAATACCTGCCAGTAATTATATTAATATGAATGTTTAAATATGTGTATTAGAAAGATAGTCTGCGTCTGCAATAGCGCATATAAGGTCTCTTTTTATTCCGGACAAAATGGGTAAGACAAAATCAATTTTTTGTTGATTGGTGTTTTTCGTTTTTGGGTCGTTGTTGTTAACCAAGGTGGCCTATATTAGTAAGTAAGTTTATACATGCCTTATTCACCAAAATTGCTGTTGTTGTTTTGATGAATTTCATCGCTCTATCTACTCTCCTGTCTGTTACATTACGTAACAGTCTTACACACACATGTGACCATTGCAAAAACAAGCTCATTATTAAAATAAATCATTTAAAATACCATAACGCTATCTCTAGATCGCGGTATGAGCATACATTACAAAAAACATCGGTTATTCCACACATCTGAGAAAGCTGTCAGTTAGTATCATATGTATGAGTAAATGTCTAAGAGGTTAACGACCTCAGCTAATGGATTTTCTGGCTGCTATACTTTTTGCGGAGTCTTTTAGTCAGCCTGTAATAATGGTCCAATGAATACTATGAAGGAATATAGACATCATTAGTGCCTTTTTTATTTTTCAAAGCGGTAATGATAATCCTGGATATTCTTTGAATGGATTGCCATGTGAACGAACACCAACTTTGTACTAATTGTACTTTATTAAAAAATTGTATTGTAATTAGGGTTTCTATTACAAAACTTCAAGATCCGACCTCCACCCTTTGGGGAAAAGAGCGTATTTCTTCTTAAAAGGCCGGCAACTCATCTGTGACTCCTCTAGTCTTGCGGGTATTCTTCGCTATTACCATCAGATGATCCGTCTCCTCGTTTGCCTCCAGATTCATAGAAAATACTTAATTTTCCAAACACCTCAAATCAACATCCTTAAATTCCTAACCCCAAAGTCCGGTAACGCACTTGTGTTCCAGGTGTCCATGGGCGACGCCAAATGCTTACCATCAGGTCATCCGTCTGCTCGTTTAACGGCTTATCCCATAAAATAAACCTATTACGACTCCATTTCAAATTCCGTTATATAAGTAAGATTATCCAAAAACAGTAGCATCTTGTAAACTGGGGTCTGGGGTAAGGCCCCTGCCAAAAGTCAAAATCATGTTTTCATGCATAACAGCTACTCTTGCCTCCCTCTAAAGTCCAACCAATTAGGTAACATAAACTTAAAACACTACATAGTATAAAACAAAGTCGCTATCCGCCGTCTGTCTGTCCCTATGTATGCTTAGATCTTTAAAATTACGCAACAGACTTTGATGCGGTTTTTTTAATACATAGAGTGATTCTTAACTCGTCGAGTACCGGTTTTATAGACACAATTAAAGAACAATAGGTCGCGGTCACCGGTGACCGCTTGGTATTTGACAGTTTAAGGAAGGTTTATATGTATAATACCTCTACATGCATATTGCACCCGTGCGAAGCCGGGCCGGGTCGCTAGTAAAAGTATAATATTACCTTCCACATAGAAATGCAAGTCACAGACTCACCATTAAATATAATTAACAACAGCTGACATCGTATGTCATCCTATACAAGTGTTAATTGTTTAATTCCGACGATGCGACTGATTAATATTATGTGTCGATAACTTTCACTCGTTGATGAGACATTAAATTAAATAAACAGGTTTTTATACAATTCATGTAATAAATGTTACATTACTTTGTGTTACGTAATATTGCGTATTTTGTTTTCTGACGAGATGGGCTTTGGATGACGTGTTTGTATTGTGCTTATAAATAGCAACTCCTGCACGGTTTTACCCGCTCTGCTCGTCTCCTATTGATCGTAGCGTGATGTTTTATAGCCTAAAGCCTGCCTCGATAAATGGAATATCCAACACAAAAAAGATTTATTGAAATCAGACTAGTACTCACCGAGATTAGCGCGTTCAAACAAACAAACAAACCAACAAACATACAAAAGGACCAAAGTCTTAAGCTTTATGTAAAGTACGTATAAGATGAAAATAATTTTTAAGATTCGTTATGACATCTTATCTTCATTAGTTTGCAGGACTTACTTGGGGTACAATTCTAACTTACCACTTCATCAGATATTCTATAGACAACTGTCTACAACTGTACAATAAAACTTAACTAAAAGTTGTACTAAACATTTCCAAACTAAATTATGTCGATTAAATCTAAATGTAATCAACTCCTGTGTGGTCAATATCTCAGTTTTTACCTCACAAGAAACATTTACGAGAAACAGTCCACAGTTATAAAGTTCTTATTCCCAACTCACGCGCAGTCGCCCCACGGCCGCACGGGCAGCACAATGCGATGCGCGCGCAGTGGGTGTCGATGATTTACACCGTCTTGTCTACGACCAGCTTCATTCATATTTATTAAAGTTCGCAGTTTTTTTCAATTGTAAATCTTCACAGTGTGATGAACGTGGCAGTTGGTATTGCGCTATTTTGTGAGCCAAGCAACGTTCCAATAAAAAATGATTTTATTTCATTCCTGTTACCATTATTGTTTGTCAATGTTTATAGCCTGCTATCCGAAGATTATTTAATTTATGTACTATACGTAAACGCCGTTTTATAGTTTTCTATGACGTTTTTATGTGTGAGTAAAAGTTAAGTAATAAAATACTTGTAATAATAAATAATCTCCATTGTTCAATATTGTTAAACTTTGAAAATAAAATAAAGAACAAGCAAGCCATTACAGTTGCTTCAGTTCACAATTAATATTACTAATTGGCAAAATAAACAAGATGGCGTGAACGTGCGCTTTTGTCGGCGCGTGCGCATACGTTATAATTTATCCTGTTTATAAAGTAATATTACCTGTATTCTTTTATCGTTATTATTGAACTGCTGGGAGCATATTATAATACAAAATATTTGTAAATTGTTATTATATTCATAAACAATTATTTTATTGACAGCCTCGTTGATCTACTTACTCAGTATTGTCAACCACAAGATTCTTTAAACGACACTCGGACTAGCAAACGAAGCTAAGAAAAAAGACTAAGAATAAAAAAATAACACTAAGGATACCAAATATTAAATATTTAAAGCTAGCTCACGAGGTTGTCGACATGTAGAGTGTAGATTCGGCTATCACTGTGGCGATAGTCGTGTCGGCCAATGGATTAGTCCCTATAAGCGTCGAGGAAGATCTCCTAAAAATGGCACGTACCTTGAGGAGTTTTCTGTCTCTGGAGCCCTAACCTCCGGTAGCTTGGACCATTTAGTTTTTAAGTAGGATTTAAAAATTAAATTTTAGAGTATTTTAAATAAATGTATAGAAAAACATATATAATAAAAATACTAAGAATAAAGAATACTAGAAAGTATTACTTACCTAATGTTAGATTTTTAGTCAAATCATTTAGTCATCTACCAACAAATTCAGGGAATTGAATCATGATTATAGACATGACCCATCAACGCTTGAACCATTTAATCAATATAATCAAAAAGCAATTTACTTCTGAAAAAACTCCATACTTTTTATACCAATGCCAACTTTGGTCACTTGTAAAAATAAGAAAGCTCTTTGATTCGACATTTTGAAATTCCCGGTGTGTCATCGCTGTTTTAAAAAAGATTTAGAATGAAATGATGTGACGTCATTTTTAAACTTCCACTTAGTAGACGTTAATCATGTATCTGATTTTAGGTTTAAACATTTTTTTCTTGAACAACTATTTAATTTTGGACTATTAAGTCGTACTGTACTATATAATATATAGTAAAGTAAAAAAATACTATAAAGTAAAAAAATCCTAATATTATTTGTTTATTTTATTTATTCATATTGCACAATGTACATATAATAAGAAGTATTACATACAACTTATTCAGTACATAGTTTATTTGCGAAAATACATATTTTTATAGAACAGAGTGTATTGCAGTTATTTACTCAAATTTATCAAAATAATCACGAATAAATAAGCACAATTGTTTATCTCAGTCTCAGCTATTGAAAATTGAATCAATAATTTCGTATGTCAAATAGTACATTTATTAATACATCGGCTTACAGCTCTGCCTACCTCGTAAATAAATCGTGTTGAAAGGGCGCGAGTATTTTTAAAACGCGTCTTATTTTTATTGGGTGATGCGCAAGCGCATGCGATCACCTCGTTAGGGCGCACTCAATTATGGTTCATGTGCGTAGGTCAACCAGTTCATATATCGTGCCGCGCAAAATTGCCTGGACTGTTTGTAAATAGCTTTTAAATGTAATTTTTAGATGAATGTTATCTATGATGGCGTAAAATGAGGAGAACAAAGAAAATATAACTTAGTATTCCCCAAGAACTGTTATTAAATTCTAGGTTTCGTGCTAAAGCTGAAAACTGAGAATTTCAGGACCGAAAACCCATTATTACTTTACCCAACTCTCTCGAACTTGAACTTTATGCAATCAATCAGACTTACAACCAATGAAAACCTTTCAAAAATCTGTACATATTAATAAAATTGACTTTCCCTATTGTTTCAGTATACACCGACCAACCAGTATCATCAGCGTCGCCCCCGACTCGAGACAAGATCAACGGGGAGGAGAAGGCGAGGTCACGGCGCAGGGATACCTGGGCAGAACCGTCTACACCACCGGTCACTGATGATGGTGAGTATACCACCAAGTCACCCTTTTATTAGAAGATAGTTTAGAACCTTTAGAATTGAAAGCAAAGTGTCTCGTAATTTCTTCCTCTTATTCAGTACTATTCAATAGAGGTACAGTTCGTAATATTGAAATCTATCAAAATACTTACTTAATACATTTTCATTAATTAACTTCAAAAGTTGTATTACAGTCCGATTCAGAAACATGTAGATTACTTAACTACAATATTGATTTCTCCTATACGAGTATTTGTACCGTATAGTATAAATAACCAAACCATCTCTAATCTCCCCACCTATTTCCAGCTACAGTTGGAGTTCGGTCACCGCTGCTACAGCATCAGCATCAGCAGTACGATGAACAGCTCCGTGACATCGCAGCCTCCCTCACTAGGCCACGGTCACGACGAGCGCTACCACCCACCCTGGAGAGACCCACAAGACTGCCGCCACCTGATCGACTACCGGTAAGATAGTAGGATGACTTCGTTTATTCCTCGAAACGCTAAACAAAGGTGCAATGTTAACACACACCTAAATAGTAGGGAGTGGTCTGTAGTGGTACACCTGACATAGATCCAAATAAAATGCTATATTTGTGAATCCCCAAAATTTTAAATCTCATTAGCTTGCAAGTATTAGACTCCAGTCCAATCATGACACCATTAGTCGCGGTTGCGATCAATTAATCAACAAAGCTGTCCAACCAAAATAAGCAACAACAATTTAATTTCTACTTCCATTCCAGGCTCGTGGCTCACCAGACGGAGGTGCCCCACCAGAAGAAGCGAGCTCCAGTTCAGCAAGCGAAGGTAGCGAGCCTGCTGACACTGTAGAACCAACTGAGAACGGAGAAGGTGGCAGGGTTGAACTGCCAGCCGAGAGATTACTCCATGCAAGAGCAGGGTGGCTCCAACGGCGAGGACCAGGTGGCTGGTCGCGACACTGGTTCGTACTCCGAGGAGCAGCCCTACTATACTTCCGAGATCCTCACGCAGAACATAGAGGGTTGATGGATGGAGTAATAGACTTGAGTGGGATATCGAGGGTCGTGGAACTGCCGAATTCAACCAACGGATATGCCTTTGAGACTGAGGTATGTATGCTCATTAATACTACAATATTTTGTTACCAACACAAGTGTTTGATTTTTAATTAATGTTATCTTATTTGCGTTTACAGACTTGGGATGGAAAGCATATAGTCCTCTCTGCGGTAACAGCAGGTATAAGAGCTAACTGGGTGTCAGCAATGCGAAGAACAGCCGGACTACCCGACACAGGACCGCTATCACTGATACTGCGGGAAGATACTGTGGACCAAGCTTCGGAATCTTCAACATCACCTGTAACACCTGTCACACCTATTACAGGCAGATCAGCGCCCTTCTCATCCGACGAAGAATACAGAACAGCTTCCGAAGGTGGCAGAAGAGATAGCGCTGACTGGGGAGACATGGGACCTCAACCACCTCCATCCCCACTTCTAACAAGGACACCAATATCCAAAGTCAAAGAAAAAGTCCGCATCAGAAGTTCTCATCAAGCACCACCGCGCGCAGACACCCCTAAAGGCGACCGAGATGAAATCGACTCAACCAAAGAAAAAGACCGCAACGTCGATGATGTTGATGAGAACGAAAAGCCCGTCGAAGCTAGAAAACGTAGCTACATATCGACTATCGACAAACAATCGATCGAAATTGACGACTTGAGGAAACAACTCAAACTTGCACTCAGTGACGTAGGTGCAGCGGAAGCCGAGATCTCTAGACTTCAAAAACTTAAAACCGAAGCTGCTATGCAAGAAAAGAAGATGGAGGAATTGGTAACAGCACTGCAGAAGAAAGAAGAAGAACTGTCAGTTAGAACAAAAGAGGCTGAAAACTTAGACGCGATAAAAGAACTTTACAATCAAGACAAGAGTCTATGGGAGAACAAGTTGACAGAGACGCAGAACTTCTTGAAAGAATCGACAGAACATTGTGAGTTATTAACAAGGCAGTTAGCTTCCGCGCAGGAGACAATTGCCCAGTTACAACGAGAGGTGAACGAACTAAATGAGAAACTGCTTAAGAGTGTCAGAGAAAGTGACAGCTTGTACTCAAGGATAAGGGATCTTGAAGGTCGAACACTTGTGGAGTCAACATTACCCAGCAAGGAAAAGAGAAAGAGTATCGGATCTCTCAGTGATCTCACGAACTTGAACCAAGACTTGAACCTGGAAGCGATGGAGAAAGACAAACTAATAGAAGAGTACGGGGAACTAAGAGATCGATTCGTGAAGGCCATTCAAGAAATCAAAGCCATGAAGAAAGAACTACGAGATTCACATAATATGTATGATGAACTCGAGGTCACCAATATGAAGTTGAGGAATGAGATGAAGCTGAGAGAGCAGTGCAGCCGCTCAGAGATCGACCTCATGGCGGCTCGAATCCTCGACCTCACGCAGAAGTTAACAGCTTCAGATAAACAGGTCAGGACACTCAAACACAAAATCCAAAAGTCTGAATCTAGAGAGAAAAGACGAAGTCTGTCATTAAAAGGCAGAGAGTCATTCACTCTAGGCAAAGAAGTAGAAGAGAAGTTAACAGAGCTCGAAAACAAAATCACAATGCTGGAGTCCGGCGAACCAGTCCCAACGATAAACTCTCCCTCCAAAAGTGCGTCACCTGCCAAAGAAAAAACTTCCAAATCAGAAAACCCATCAGATGAGAAACGGATGAAACGACTCGCCGCCCGACTGCGGAGGAAATCTCTCGATAGTGCGACCAGCTCCGAGCCAATGAAGATGCTGGTCAGGTTGAGCTCGCTAGAAACCAAAGTAGCCTCCGCTTTAGAGAACCGTAAGGACCTTACAAACTCTTGCGAGTCTCTGAGTCAAGCAACCAGATCCATAGAGAGTCCATCACTCAACGAGAGCCCCGAAGCTTCCAGTATCGGCACGCAGTCACAGAGGCACCTGCTGGAGAGGCTACAGAGTCTAGAGAACGTAGTGATACACTCTAGGAATAAGGTGAACGAGTGCCTTTGCCAAATGAGTGCGATGCGAGCCGCCAAGTCACGGAGATCACCCTCACCGAGTCTCGAAAAGAAATATAGTCTCAAGTCAATGGAAAAGTGCCTTACAGACGTTAGCAAGAGGCTACAAGAGTGCTTCGATAAGTGTGTAGTTGACTACGATCATAACCAAAACCAGGAAGATGTAAACGATAGCGTAGCTCAGGTGGTCGTACAGCTGGAAGAACAATTGAGGACCAAACTGTTGGAGATATCCAAGAGGAAAGCAGCGCTGTACGAGGCAGGTGAACTCACACAGAGAAAGAGCCTCGAGATACTGGCAGAGAAACTGGCTTACGAGGCAGTCCTCGTCGGCAGGATACAAGAGGCGTTGGAGTCCTCGAATGGCAGCAGATTCTTCGCGCGATTGATAAAGTCTGAAATTATCGAAACTAGTCAACTAATAGATAACCTCAAACGTAAGATCAATGGCGACAGCAGCAGGAGTAGTGCTGGCACTAGGAGCTCGCTGGATTACCTCGCCATGATACTCACGAGAAAGATCGACATCGTCAACGGCTCTAGAGAGGCGCACGAGAGACGTCGCTCCGAGCTCATCATCCATGGAGCCGACCTCGAAGCACTGAAGGCATCACAGCGCGAAGTAGCTGACGCAGTCGATCGGTATAAGAGCGAGAAACTTGCTGAACTGTGCTCTGCGCTCGCTTGTGAGACTCTCAGCTACTCCGCCCCTGCCGACGGAGACACCGAGAGGCAGCGAGCCAACCTCGAGGCAGCGCGCGTGCGGGAGGCCTGGGCCGCTGCACGGGACGCGCTGGGCGCCGAGCTCGTGCAGGCCGAGGTCACGCGGGCGCTGGCCCGGGCCGCCGCCACCTGCGACCAGCGGCTGGACCAGGCGCGCCGCGCCCGCCTCACTCTCACTGCGCAGGACCGCGCCGACCTGGAGCTGTGGTGGCAGGCTGCGCACGACCACCTGCGCTGTGAGATGGACGCCGCCGTCAAGGACATCGCCGCACGCTACCGCAGCTGTCTGGCCGCGGAGCGCAGGCCGCGCGAGGGATCGCCCGGCCTGGACAGCCGCGTACTACTGCAGCAGCTGGCGGAAGCGCTGGCGCAGCGTGCACTAGTGGACGCGAGGGTGGCAGTGCTGGATGGCACATACCGCGCCTCCAGCCCGCGGGAGCCCACCAGCCCGCGCCGCTCCGCCGAGGACACTATCTCCTCGCTGGAAGCGGACCCTGCGCAGGAGGCGGAGTTCGTCTACCTCTTCCAACGATTCTCGACCGAGTGCCGAGCGCTCTTCTCCAGTGACTGTTCGGGTAACAGTGAAGACTCGATGAAGATCGGCGAGAGCCTCGAGCGGGTGGAGGCGGCCGTGGCCGAGGTGCAGCGCCAGCTGGGCGCGCGGGGGGAGGAGCCGGCCCCGCCCACCGAGCGCCCGGCCACGCCCCCTGGCGCCAGCGCGCTCGATCGCATCGACGCGCTGCGCCGGCGTGTCGAAGCTCTGCAAGCGCTGGTGCCCTGCCAGCACTGCAAGCAGCTGCAGGACGCGCTGGACAGGTCAGTAACACAGATACGATGAGCCTTCACTTTGTTAATGCAGTGAGTACATATTGTCTAACATTTATTACCTCCGGCAGGCTCCACGAGGAACGCACGCGCGGTGAGTGCGCCCTGGCCCAGCAGGCGCACGCGCTGGCCGCGGCGCGGCGTGCGCGCGCGCAGCTGCAGGCGCAGCACGAGCGCGAGCGCGCCGCACTACGCGAGCGGGCTCGTACACTGCAGCGTCGCCTGGCCGCGCTGGACTCCGAGTACTCCGCACAGCTGGAGAACTTGCGAGCTGCATACCAGGTAAATATCGCCGCCTATAGTACAGTGGCATGTATACCCGTCGTACAATACTAACGAGCATCCTGTCCCAGAGCGCGGTGGCGGCGGACACGCACGGCGACGGGCTGCGCGCGCGCTACCAGCAGGAGATAGAGCAGCTGCGGGCGCTGTGTGAGAAGGGGCTGCTGGCCATGGAGTCCTCGCACCGACGCATCGTCAGGGAGATGGAGGACAAACACCGCGCAGAGCGGGAGCAGCTCAGGTAATTAACATATCGCATCGAATAAATCTAATTTCTTAAGAGTTCTTAAAAATACTCATAACCATTAACTTCACCCCTAGAACTCAAATCTTTCCGAATTTAATTATTTTCTATACACAGCTAAAAATATCAAATAGTTATAGATAAGTGAACACACAATCAGAGACGTGATAAAAAAATATGTAAAGATATCCACCTCTTTCTCAAACATCGAACTTATTTTAAAAACACCCCAAAATACTAATTACTAAATTCCCTAACCCCTTTCAGGCTAGACAAAGAGCAAGCGTTAGCAGAAGAGACCCGCGCGACGTTAGCCGCACTCGACGCGATGCGGAAGGCGCACGAGAGTGAAGTTAGGAGGGAGGTCGACAAGTTCAAGGCGGAGTTCCTCAGCAGAGGACATAATGGAGACCTCACACAGCTCAGCTCCCGACACCAGTAAGTTACTTGGGTTTTGTTAGTCGATTCAGATGAAAATAGACCTTAAGTTTTCTAATGTTAGATTTAATTTTAAATTGGCAAGTTATACCCCTTACTACCTCTACTAGTTTAGCCTAGTTTTACCTTATTTGCACCTATTGCACGCACCATAACTGTTTACCCCACTTGACACGTGCCGTAAACTATTTTATTGTGTCAGAAATGAGAATGAAAACCACAACGAAGAAGCTAGCTTGGGTTCAAATATGCAACAGATACCTGTGTATGTATATTTACCCTGTATATCCATACTCCCCACCCTGTTCACCAAGTAGTAAAGTCTTTTAGTAATATTTCCAGGCAGGAGATGGAGGAGATAAAGCGGGAGATCCTCTCCCTCTCTGAGAAGTACTCCGTGAAGTGCGTGGAGTCTGCCGCGCTAGAGGAAAGGCTCGCCACTGCCACCGCGCAACTTGCGCAGGCGCATAACCATATCATGCAATTGGATGCCAGGTATGTACGCTATAACAATAAGGAATACTTATTTTAAAGGTTACTTACTATGTCGATAATGAGATAAAATATATTAAATTTTAGTACCAGCAACTCATTGAGACAATTTCAACTTTATCGTTTTATAATAAAGTAGAAAATCAATCTAAATTGTATTCAACCATGTTAATACGATGACAACAATATTTACATATTCGACTACAAATTAGAAATAATGATGAAAACTTATATTTAATTTTTAATACAATATGTTCGTTTGTTATTCCAGAAACAAGCAACTTCGCGCGCATCTAATATCGGAGGCGAATGAGATGAAGAACACGGAGGCGTCCACTCTCTCACAACTCATAGAGGAAACTGGACCGGTATGTTGATAATACACAATATTACTTTCTTTAAACACATAAACAACACTATACAGACGCACTACAAACTACACCAAAACTTTTGAATGTGGAGATTAGGGCAATCCCCCCCCCCCCCCTTAAGCCTTTGAGTACCGTCATTATAGACACAATTAAAGAACAATAGGTTGCGGTCACCGGTGTCCTCGCGGTGTTTGACAGTTTAACTCGTCGAGTACCGGTTTTATAGACACAATTAAAGAACAATAGGTCGCGGTCACCGGTGACCGCTTGGTGTTTGACAGTTTAACCTGCAGATTATGGCAAATCTCTCTATCCCCAAATTACAACCCCCTTCTGACAAATCTGAGGATTATTGCAACCCCTCCCCTGCAACACGAGGATTTTGCTAACCCCCTTCCCTCAAACCTAGGGAATTACGGCAACCCCCTTCCCCCCAAAACTTGAGAGACCTTTATTTAGTATTCTAGTCGATGATGATTTGTTACATTGGTGTATTTTGATGTGCCATCTGCACTATACTAGAGCTTATCTTCATTCTATAATCTATGGCTACACGCTTGCATGCACGCACTACTCTAAACTGCTAAATATAATTCACGCTTGAAAATGAACCTTAGGTTTAAGTCTTATAGTACATTTTGTCATATCAACTAGTGAATAGCTTTGTACTACTGAGTACTTTAGAATTGTGTATACTTGAATAAGGTTGAATTTCGTGTATTTTAGTATATTTTCTAGATCTTGTAAAGTTCTTTTAAAATTGGTTAGATGTGATATAAATTCGCTCTTCGGTCGCACTAATTGATTTTGCTTTTTGATTTGGTACTTGCCAACTTGTCAAATTCAATACTTTTATCGAACTGTCTATGAATTTTTGTTCGAGTTTGTGTACTGTGACGTCACATTTTTTAAGCGTCAAACAGCATACTTATTTCTTAAAAATTTCCTGGAAAAATAGTAAAATTAAGTGGGTCATAAAATCAATTAATGAAAAGATGATTATTTTTTTAAATATTTTAGTATTGAACAGTCGAAATGATTTATTTTTGATTAAGGAAAGTACCCAATTATTAACAAAGATTACTTACTAAGTTACATACCTACATGATGATTTGTAGACAGATTGACAACATTTAACGGCATAATTTTTAAAGAGTAAGAAATCAATTAGCGCGTAGTTTAGAACTATTCCATAAAACTTCGAGCATACAATTGGAGACTAGAATTTGCTTTACAATAACCTCAAAGAAATGCGTGACAAATGGCTTGACTTCAGTTATAAAACATTGCATGTTGCTCTATCTTCTATTTTAAGACAATTCGCAGATAATAATATCATTTGCACTGCACGACAGCATTATATACAAACGCACATCAACCTCCTCCTATCTGTTATTAGATTTCATCTTTCAACTTTATTTCCTATGATACAAAGTTGATAATCTATTGACAGAGTTGGAGTAGCTTGAACTGCTTGTAAAAATGGCTTCTAATATAAATTAATAAGTCTCACAATTACTGGTCGAAGTGTAGATGTATTAGTATATGGCATAACGGTACATGTATGGGGTGCACTAACAGCATGGGAGGGCGCCACCGGCGTTGAGGGAGCACCGGCGCCACCTGGCGCCCGCCCGGCAGGAACCTGCCGCTGATACAGGTACTCATTCATTTCGCTACATGCCAAGCTAGGGGATGGTTGGGGGAAGGTCGACTATTAGGGGAGGATTTGGATAATCTGGAGTTTTAAAAAGCATGTTGTCTTGCAACTGGTTATGAGGTATATTTACCATCAGGTGATCCGTCTGCTCGTTTGCCTCCTATTCCATAAAAAAAAGATAAAATGCGTAACGTACGCACGTAACTGTTTGACGAAGTACTCGACTAGTTTCAAGCCATTCTAGAGGCTCATATTCATTAGCAGCATTCCGCGACACACGACGCGGCGACTGTGGCGCTGTTACTATATAGCAATACTTAAAACTAGTAGGCTTCCTCGTTAAACTGTTACATAATAATTAAAGTATGCTTAGATATTTTGTAATGAGTTAAATGATATATTTTGTAGTTCTACCTTAATAATCGACTATTTCTCGTTTCCCGCTTTGTGGTTTTTGGTTTATTTGTGTTATAGATCAAGATGGCAACTAGACTACCCATCTTGTGCATCTTAGATATAAAGATTTAATTTAAGCTAAGATTACTAATTATTTTTGCACGTAATAAGAACCTCCCGAAAACCAAGCTTCCGCAGCCTATTAATTTTCTAATCTCAACTTCTTTAAAACTGCTTTTTTATGCCTAATTAACACAACGTTTCCTTTGCAAATTTATATTTATTTCAAAGCATTCTTTGATAATGTTGTATGATATGATTATAATATTGATTATAATGTTTTTTATAGACGAAGTCGTCCCGAGGGAGCCCGCTCCTGGAGGCGGCGAGGCCGGCGCGCCCGGCCAAGATACAGTACGCGAAGACGGAAAGCACGCGAAACCTGCAACTGTCGCCCGTTCAGGTAATTAACTTGTCTATTGATAAATTATGGGTTATTTTTACCAAGTAAATATTTCAAGATGGTAATCATAAAACTAGATTATTGGTAAAATTATTTAATCTTGACTGCCCTATTTTGTTTTGGCTTGCTACCGTCGTAAATAGTATACTTAACTCATAAAATAATTTAAAAATGGTTTTTATTTAAGTACTCATATCAATTTTGTAAATTATTATATTTCTTTTACAGAATTAAAAGCATCGAAACGTAGCTCCTCGAGCGGTCGACCAGCAATATCTCCGCTCGCGGGCATGGTCGCTGAGCGCAAGAAGCGCTTCGAACTGTAACCGACCGCCACACCACCGCCACGCGGCCGACACGCGACCGACACGCGACTGACACGTCCTACAGACGCACCCACCACGCATGCACCTGGCCACTCGCTTCTAACCCCTACCACATATAACCACTTATGGATATTTTAAACAACTTCTACCTAAAATGGAATAATATTTAATCGTCATTAATACTAGCGTAGTCATTTTGAAGTGTATATCCTTTTGGATATACACTCACTATATAATCAAGATTGAAATTATCAAATAAATGACGCATAAAAACATTTATATTATCAATATACTAATGTTTAATTATTTAATATTGTTAAGACCAAATAGTTTCTACCATATTTTTAGTGGCCAGACATTATTCCCACCCACCACACAATTGTATATAATCTATGAGAACGGTATATAATGTACTAATTTTCTAAGTGTAGATTTAATAGATCGGTTAGTGATGTGACTTGTGTAAATTATATACTTAATGTAAATACTAACGAATGTATCCTCATTGTTTGTTTTCTATATGTTTAATCTTTAAGTCGTTGTTACCAAATATTTCTTTGTATTTAATGTGTTTAGCAAGCACTGGGGACGCAGTTATCAGTAAATAACATTACAAACGTTTCTTCAGATACCTAATTGTATTATTTATTGCTCTATTTATTACTTTTATTTTATATTTGTATTGAGCTAGTTCGCTTGCTCGCTCCACCTCTGCAGTCTCTCTAAGTTCTACCGCCAAGTAGTTGCGTCTCCAGCGCAACTTTATGCATTGTAACCGTGTTTTGAAAGCGTGGACTTATTTGTGTGTCTAGAATTTATTACTAAAGTTTTTAATCGATTCGTGGCATTTATTATCTGTACGTTTGAAGAAAAAATTGTCGATGTGAGTGACAGCTGTCATTGATTAAAAGCGCGCGAAATTGTAATGTCGGAAAGTAAATGCCATTGAGCGGTTAGTATAGAGGCATATTTATAAACTTTATATCTTAATATTAACATGTTTATGAGAGTAAAATATATAATTTGTGTTATTTTGACTTTGAGCTCGACCTGTATTACGTGTGCAACTGTTACCATTCTTCTCGACTCTGGGCATTGAACCGTCTTCCAGCACCTTCACATTGTTGTGTATAGTTAAACACTAACTAGCGGATAGTTGTATGTACCTATTATATAACATGTCACGAAATTGTATACATAATTTATGGAATAAATTGCTCAATGTTATTTAGTGGGTTAAAAATGATATACCAAAACTATAGTATGCATTGTAAGTATACAAGATGTGTAGACAACAATATAAACGTAATTATTCACGGCTATAATAAATTAACTTATGTTAGTTGAGCTTTTTATATGCAGTCGGAGGCACACTATGTTCATATGTTGCGTTTACCTGTTACGAATGAGTGTTCACATGTCTAGGCCGCCGGCTGCTCTAGTTGACGTTGTGTTTATAATAACATATTATAAAATGAACAGTAAACTTACATAATACAAATATTGTTGTTTCATTCAACCATTCTATAACCTATAATTTTAGTTTGCATTTTATTTTTCGATTATATCGATGGTTTTATCTATAAAGATTAAAAAAAACATGACTAATACGCCAAAAATAAAATCAATACAAAAATTTATTCACAAAACTTATTTCGATGTTGTTCAGTGTAGAAATAATCTGTTTAAAAGATGCACTCGGCCAACGCCATACTACTATTTATTGTGTTGTCCCATAGCTCGATAGATGGCGTTGGCCGATTTAAATTCAAGCTATGGTTTCGTTACCGGCAAAACATTAGGTTGTCTGCTTTGACGTAAATAAATTGTCTTGCTCTGAGGTACTTCGTATTATTTCAAGTAATAGGCTCCAAAGGACTTTCGGCCGATACTGTTCATGGTCCAGTCGAGCCGAAGGGTGTTTATGGAAGAACACATACAATTAAATATAGTTGTGCTAATTGATACGAGATGGTGATAGTTGTCGGTTAACAATACCACATGTGGAAGACTACGTGCTCAGCTGCCGAGGACATACATCGGGAATCATCGTTGAACTTCGTAGTAGTGAAGTGAAGTGCATAATTGTGGACAAAGAACTGTGAGTACATTTAAATCATTAAAACTAGGGACTTAGAAAAATTCGCGTGCATTCGATCAGGGACTTAGAATAGTTTCGAGAAAAACGACCAGACGTCGAATCTATGCCCGATTTCGAAGCGATCTACAAAGTATTAAACACTTAGAAAAATTCTCTATAGTTTGGACTTGGAAAATTTGTCAATTGTCAACTGTCAGCGACACTTAGAGAATTTTCATCTATCTTTCACTGGACTTAGAATATTTTCATGAATACAAACAACATGGAGAAAGAACTAAGAAAGCTGAAAGATATCAAATTACAAATTGAAAAGGGCTGGATAAATTACAAGAAGTCCCCGAGAGATCGGATAAACTACAATTATGTCGATGCACGTTTAGAGATGTTAGAGACCCAATTCAAGAATTTTTCTGCGAAATATGAAGTCATCGTAGGTGATTGCGAAAGTGAAGAATTACAGGACTTTTTCCAGGAAGATATCTATGAGACGGTTTATGAGTGTTATTTAATGTACAAGGTAGAATTAAAAAATGTTTTGTCCCAATTAAAAGTTCACAGCTCAAGGAAGGAAGGTTGCGATGGTTCATCTGACAGCAGTGTGGTAAGATTGCCAAAAATAGTTTTACCTACTTTTAGCGGAAAATATACAGAGTGGTCATCATTCCGTGATTTGTTCGTGTCATTAGTACACAACAATAAAAAACTTGATGATGTCCAACGTCTCCATTATTTAAAAACTCAACTGTCAGGTGAAGCGGAGCAGCTTATAAAACATGTACCTATAACTGATTTAAACTATAAAAAATGCTGGGAAATGTTAGAACATAGGTATAATAACAAGAGATTTGTATCCACATATATTTTAAATAGATTATTTGGCCAACGTAATATTGGAAATGAATCATCAAAAGCACTAAAAGATTTACTAGATGTGACCAATGACTGTTTGCACGAACTTACTAATATTGGGATCGATGTAAGTTCATGGGATGTAATTATTATTTATGTTGCAAGCTTGAAGTTGGACGTAGAATCGAGGAAGCAGTGGGAACTGCATGTCACTAAATCATCCGACGATCTACCTTCCTTTAAACAGTTTTGCGAGTTTTTGGAAACACGTTTTCGTGCTCTCGAATGCGTTGAGCCTAAAAATAAATTAAAAGTCGATCATCATCCTACATCTCACACTAAGGTCATGCACGGTACGACTAATATGTTATGTCCACACTGTTCGGAGAGTCACAAACTCTTAAATTGTAAGAAGTTTTGCCAACTAGATGTGGACGGACGTCGTGCCGTAACACAATCTTTGGGTGCCTGTTTTAATTGTTTGGGAAGTAATCATACTTCCAAATACTGCCGTGTTCTTTCGAAATGCCGTATTTGTCAGCGTAAACACCATACGCTGCTACATCCGAAGAACCATAGTGGAGCCATTGGGGTTACTGCGTCAGGGGAACCTATTCTCCCTGAACTTGGATGTACTTCAGAGCCAGTCCATGATGTCAAGGTAAGTATAGCATCTCATTTTGTGAATGAACAAACGCAGGGTCAGGTCTTGTTAGCCACGGCTTTGGTTAAAGCCGAATCACAAAATGGGTCCTCTCAGGTTTTGAGAGCTTTGTTGGATCAAGGATCACAAGCATCCTTTATAACTGAGTCAGCTGCGCAATTACTTCGTTTAAGGAGAGTAGTCTCAAAGACTACTATTGCAGGTATAGGAGGTGAGCATAGCAAGATCGTTTCTAAACATGTAGTGAATATTGATATTCAATCGTTGCATGATTCCTCTTATACCATAAACGTAACTGCGCATGTACTACGTTCACTGACATCGGTTATGCCAGATAAGAATGTCAACCTTGACAATTGGCCAGAAATTCACAGCATACGTCTAGCCGACCCAAATTTCAGTCGTTCTAATAAAATTGATATTTTATTAGGGGGGGAAGTATACTGCCGTATTTTAAAGGAAGGTCTGATCAAGAGTCCTACAGGCTCTCCGGTCGCACAAGACACGCATTTAGGTTGGATTGTGTCAGGCTATGTCAGTAAGGCAGATAGATCTCTAAATTCTCATAATACTATAATCACGATGTACACTCAAATAGAAGAGAATGATATGTTAAAACGTTTATGGGAATTGGATTCCGAACCTGCTATATCGAAAAAGCTTCTCACGCCTGAAGAACAGGCCTGCGAAGAGTTTTACGCACAATCGACAGTTAGAGATGTCAATGGGAGATATGTCGTAAAATTACCTTTTCGTTCCGAAGATCCACTTTGTAAATACGGTAATTCTAAAAATATAGCTGTAAAAAGATTGCTAGGTTTAGAAAGGAAACTGGGTAGGGATGATGAATTAAAACAACAGTATGCTGATGTAATAAAAGAATATTTATTGCTGGGTCATATGGAGAAAATCGTTGATAAGGCTGAAATAAATAAAAACGATGCTGTTTATTTGCCTCATCACGCAGTGGTTAGACAGGATAAATTAACCATTAAGGTAAGAGTGGTTTATGACGCGTCATGTAAGGGAACGAACGGGGTTTCCTTAAATGACACCTTAATGGTAGGACCCACTCTTCAGGCAGATTTGCGACATATTGTCATGAGATGGCGTCAACATCCGATCTGTCTGGCTGCCGATATTGTCAAAATGTATCGCCAAATCAAGGTCGCTCGACCTGATACAGATTACCAAAGAATTGTTTGGAGAGAGAATCCAAACAAAGAGATCGAGGATTACCGACTTCTGACTGTCACCTTTGGTACGTCATGCGCTCCTTACTTAGCTGTAAAGTCGTTGCAGCAAGTTGCGTGCGATGAAGGCGAGAGGTATCCAATGGCTGCTGAAAGGGTGAAGTCAGACTTCTATATGGACGATCTGATGACTGGGTGTCAATCTGAAACAGAAGTAAAACTAATTTATGATGAAATGAATTGTCTATTAGAGAAAGCGGGGTTCCAATTGCAAAAGTGGACAAGCAATAGACCATCCATTTTGGAAACGTTGAAGGAAACTTCTGGTAGAGACCTTGAAATAAAAATGGATAGTATAACTAAGATTTTAGGACTTACCTGGAACCGGAACACTGATGAATTTGATTATTCTGTGAAGATGTCACCTCCTGCTGCACCTGAAACAAAAAGGACGGTTATATCAGAGATATCAAGGCTTTATGATCCGTTGGGTTGGATAGCACCGTGCATTATAACCTCGAAGGTTTTCATACAAAAGCTATGGATTAGTGGAATCGGCTGGGATGATGAACTGCCACCAAATCTCTTACAAGAATGGACATATTATAGAGCAGAGTTAAAGAAACTGGTAAACTTTCACATTCCTAGATGGATACATAAAAGCGAAAAAGATATTACAATGGAGTTACATGGCTTTAGCGATGCGTCAAATATAGCTTATGCGGCTGTGGTGTATTGTCGCATTGTCGATGCTAATGGGCAAATACACTCGCACCTCATAACCGCAAAGACAAAGGTAGCTCCCATCAAGCAAATATCCATTCCACGGCTGGATTGTGCGGTTCTGTTTTAGTAGCAAAATTATTGATTGATGTAGCTCAAGTAATGAACATTCCTAAGAAATATACATGCTTGGACGGATTCATCAGTTGTTTTGGCCTGGTTAAATGATCATCCAAGTCGATGGAAAACTTACGTGGCTAATCGTACTTCTGAGATTCTTGGTTTGCTAGATAATTCGCAGTGGGCTTATGTTAAATCTAAAGAAAATCCAGCAGATATAGCTTCCCGGGGAGTGTCTTCAGCATTTCTCCTTGGTGATGATCTTTGGAAACATGGACCTGGTTGGTTAAGGAATGCTCAGATAGACTTCACCCGGCCTAGTGCCATTCATACTAATGAGGAGTTAAAGCAAGTTAATGTTCACACTGCCAGCGTAGTGCCTGATTTTGAAGTCATTTGGGGATCTAAGTATTCATCACTTTCACGTTTGGTGAGAGTTGTTGCGTATTGTAAAAGATTTTTGCAATCATTAAAACTTCGTAAAGCGAATATTAAGGTTGCAAAATACCTGTCAGCTTCCGAAATTCACAAAGCGTTGAATGTATGTATCAAACAAAGCCAACAGCAATGGTTTCAGGCTGAATTGACAGCCCTGAAAAATAAGAGTCCATTGGAAAGGTCGAGTTCTTTATATAAGTTGAATGTATTTATCGACCAATGTGGGATATTGCGAGTTGGAGGAAGGCTACGGTATTCACCATTACTTGATGATACAAAGCACCCAGTTGTTATTCCTCATGATTCAAGTTTGGCTAAGTTAATTGTAGCCGACGCTCATGAAAGGACCTTTCATGGAGGACAGCAACTGGTACTTAATTTTATACGCATCAAGTACTGGATCGGTCGGGTTA